AAGTCAAGGCCGCTCTTGCTGGCAGCTGACCATACATCCCGGGTCACACTATCTTGCTGCTAGCCCCCTCATCTTCCGGGCTAGGGGCTGGCGTGGAACTCTACAGAGACCCCAAAAGATGAATTGACCCCAACTGACCTGCCATCATTTATCAACCACTTACTGAGCCTCAGCCATTTATTGACTCCTTGGATAGTCCTATTGACCCTTGGGGATCGATATTGACTACTCTGGGGAACCCTGACCTAGACCAACCCTGTGCTTCCGACAAGGAAACTAGGAGCGCTACCCTCCTTGATAGGTGGCTGGTTTTCCTCTGCTTAAAAAGGCCATCTTCACTCAGCCTTTTCCTATTTTGTTGCTATTTATTATGAGATACCAACCTCACCTGCGGTTGCTCACACTCAAGGAAGCTGTATTCTCCCAGAGTCTCATGAGTCAAATTTATTGTTTGGAGAAAAGGAATAAGGTTACCAAATCCTGGATATGTATCCTTGAGCAGCCCATTTATCACTTAAGAGATCTGCCTAGGAAAGCATTCAGAACTGGTTTTTCACCCAGGCAAGGAGCCTCAGCATTTTGTGATTCTGCCCCCGCCACCCGCAGTGGTCAATGGTGCTTCTCTATCCTTAGCTCATTTAATTTTTTCTAGTTTCTGGATTTTGATTGTCTGTTCTTTATTGAGTTTTTTTTTAACGTAAGCTACCTTGAGTGTCTCTGGTTTGGTGACCACGTAAGCCTAAGAGAGGATGATATTTGATCACCTTGAGACAAGGTCTGCCGGTTTGCCTGATCAGGAAGCAATGCAATGTTTTGCAAAATGCCCTTCCTGCAACTCAGAATTCAATAACAACTTAGCACTGCAACATTTATCGATATATCTATATCTGTATTTACAAACTGAGTCAAAGGGAGTTGCCATTGATTTCAGGGAGCTGTTTTTAAAGAAACAAATTGTAACCTAAATTGGCAGGGCTTAAAAACCTTTTCAGCTCCAGGCCCATTATATGTATCTTAACTCAACGATTCAGGTATAAAGAAAACAAATTAATAGCCAAGACTACCTGACTGCCAAAACGTTGCAGATACGATTTTCTTTTACTTGGCAGTTCAGGGGCAAATGTTTCAAGTCTGGCAAGCACTCCAGGCTTATGAAAAGTCCAGGTGGCACATTTTCACTTGGGAAATTCTTTTTTCTATCCTTCCCGGTGAAGAATGCATTTTCCTTGATACTTCTAATGACTAGCGTAAAACCAAAGGAAGGCTGGGCGATTTAGAAATAGTGCTTTTACCCTGTCAAATGTAATCCATAGTCCCTTAATTTGGCTGTCCTTGGGAAGAACAAGAAGGAGTAGAGTACTTTTCTGCAGGCAAGTGGACTAGAATGTGGTTTTATAAAAGCAGCGGGGAGGGATGAAGTTTGATGTAAGCAGTTGAAACTGTCTCCTTGCAGTGGGGGGGGATCAGGGACAGTAGTGTAGAACCCACATGTGCTGAGATGAGGGGGGAGGCAGAGACAGGAGATGGGCCCTCTGTCCCATCCCGTGTGCTTTCCCAGGAATAATTGGGATGACAACTCTGCTGGGAATTGAGTTGCTGCTTGGCCATGCACGCAACGTTTTTGTGAGGCAAATGTGAATTGAAAACATCTGTAGCATTGGGCTTTGAATACCTGGGAGGAAAAAAATTGAGTGTCTCCAGAATCTTGAAACAAAAAAAAAACCTGGGAGAAAAAAAAGATCTCCAGAATCTTAAAACCAACACAAGCTACAGGGCTGCCTTTACCCTGTTCTGCCTTCCTGTTTTCCTTCCTCCAAAAAGAAAAAGAAAAAAGATAAGAGCTATGATCTCTTTCTCATCCTCTTTACAGGCGGCGCATATTGGCTCAACCCCCAAAAGGAGATGAATGGATCAGGAACTCTGGAATATGTGGAGAGCATGAAGCAGGAGCTGCTATCTAAAGTGAGGGCCTTGGGCAAAGAACTACCTCTTAACACCTTAGATGAACTGATTGATCACTTTGGAGGCCCGGAATATGTGGCTGAGGTAAAACATGAGGGGCAAGAGAAAGGGGAAACTTTGCAAAAGGGTTTTATCTTGTGCCTCCTAGAGTCGATTAAAAGTTGGATGGCCTATACCAGTGTCTCTCAACCTTGGCCACTTGAAGATGTGTGGACTTCGACTCCCAGAATTCCCCAGCCAGCTATGCTGGCTGGGGAATTCTGGGAGTCGAAGTCCACACATCTTCAAGTGGCCAAGGTTGAGAAACACTGGCCTGTACCTTTGATTTATAAAGACATAAGAGCTGTCACAGTATTAGCATTGCTGCAGAGAGAAGTTCTTTTCCATTTAGATAAGCATTCCCCCCATTCCAGCTTTTGACAGAGCTGCCCCAGCAAGATTAACTGAGAAGAGGAGAGAGCAGAGACTCATGCTGAGGCAAATCAGGCACCCTCCTTCGTAGGAGGGAGGCACGAGGTTAGTGGTGCCTCTTGTTTGTCTCAATTGACAACCGAATAAGGGGCAGCAACTCCTCCTCTGGGAGGCAGCTCACGGAATTGCCTTTCCAGTTTGGGTGGTCGCAGTCAGACTCTCCCAGAAAGCCCACGAAGCTGAGCTCCAGATTATTTCTGAAGATCAGTCAAGCTCTCTGGGTAGCCATTCCCAAATCACAATGCTTGAGCAAGAGGAACCAGGATGCATCACGGGAGAGTTTGCCGCCCTGAATCGCCAGCCAACTATTTGGATCAAGCCTGGCCAATGCAGGTTTCCAGACTGCTAGGCAAAGAGAAACATCAGTATTACATACCTAGGCAGTCCCCAGGTTCAGAACGAGTTCCGTTCCTAAGTCTGTCTCTAACTCAGATTTGTATGTAAGTCGGAACTCGTACTTATGAACGGGCTGCCTATTACTAAAAATGGGGGACGGCCTTCTCCTTCCTGGAGCCAATGAACTGCTGAAGCCACGCAATGTTTTCACGAACCACTGAAAATAGGCTGTATATTAAAAACGCACAGCTTCAGCGGTTCACGAAAACATTGTGCGGCTTCAGCAGTTCGTCGACTCCAGGAAGGAGAAGGCTGTCCGCCATTTTTAGTAAAAGGCAGCCCGTTCATAAGTACAAGTTGTCCGTAAGTCAGATGTTCTTAATTTGGCAACTGCCTGTAATAATAACAACTTATTAAATGTATATGCTGCCTAGAGTTGCTGGGAGTCACGTGGGAAATATATTTAATAAATTATTAGTAGTAGTAGTAATAGTAGTAATCTACAATTAAATTCACAGTCTAAGACTGGTAGTAGCCTAATAAGTCAAGTCCTAACCAAGAATCTAAGAATTATTAAAGTAACATCTGAGAATATAGGCGGTTCCTAGCAGGGTGTTTTCTTTTCTTTTCTTTTTTTTGTTAAAATTAGGGTGTTCAGGTCCAATAAATTCAAAATTTCCAAATATCAAGGGAGTCCTTTAGGTATTGCTCTAAGGGCTCCAGTCACAATTGGTATAATGCTGGATTTCTTTTTCCATAAGTGTTCAACTTCGATCTGCAAGTCCCAATATTTTGTAATTGTTTTTCCTCAGTCCTAGCATCACCCAGTATAGCAACATCCATGAACCAGGCTTTCTTCTTTTCAGTAACTGTTATATCAGGCATGTTACAGACAAGATCCCTGTCTGTTTGGATCTTAAAGTCCCATAAGAACTTAGCCTGCTCATGTTCCAAAACCTTCTCGGCTTGATGGTCCCAGGGATTCTTGTGACATTCAAATCCAAACCCCTAGCAATCTTATCTGCCTTGCCAAGCCAGCTTGCAGCCTCTCTTGAGGTCCTTGGGTTCAGGTCCTCCATGAAGGAGTCTTGAGAAATCACTGCTTAGCAATGGAAGGATCACCTGGGTTCCATTTTGCCTCTTGGTGTTTCCCAAAGATAGATAAATAGATAGAAAGATAGATGATTAATAGATAGATTTGATTGATTGATTGATTGATATGGTTGCCCATCTCAACTGTATAACTTTGGGTGGCTAACAATTAGAAACCAAATAAAAACAGTAAGCAAAGCTATAAATGACATAAAATAGTAGCCGAGCAGCCACGCATAACAGACCTCCACAATCAATACAGCTGATAAATGGGCTCATCCACATGACCATTTTATCTTTTCCAACGTGTCCCTTCTTCTTCCTGGACAGATGACTGGGCGGAAGGGGCGAGTCGTGCGGCGTCCTGATGGCTCCGTGGTGTTTGAATCGCGAGCTGAACAAGGGCTTTCGATTGACCACATGAATCTCAAGGAGAAAGAGCGTTTCATGAATGGAGACAAAGTGAGTGCTGTGGGGAGGCAGGAATTTGGGGGAGGAAGGAATCCAACCTTGCAAGAGTCATGATATGCATTGGAAGGGCCGACCTCTGTATTTTTATCTTGAGCTCCCCATGGCTGGGCGAGATCAAGGAAGCACAGATTTCTCTTGAATGCTCATCCAGAGGACATTCTAGAGTGAATTCATTGAGGCGGATTTGAAACTTTGAAATTTCTCGCCACCTGGGCTGAGTTGCTATTTGTAAGAGAAGCTGCCAACTGATTCAACTGCTTTTTCTGGATTCTTGATTATTAATTCTTGATGTCTGTTCTCAATCTTTCTCAGCCTCCTCACAGTTTGAATGTCAGGAAGGTCCAACTCACAGCCATGGATCCATTACTGAATTCCCACCCTTGGGCCCGTTGCTCCCTTCTTCCTTTTTCTGCTTTGCTTCTCCCGGATGGGCAGCGCCTGTTCCCTTTGTCCCCACCAGCCAGCCTTCCCCAACCTACCACATTCCAGATATATTATGGGGGCTCAACCCCCCAGCATTTCCCAACCAGCTCTCAGCATCCCACAGTTTGAGAAGCTCTGCCTTAATGCCTGAGCAGCAGAAAACGTTGCTCCTTATCCTCTTTGCAAATGATTCAACCTCACACACACACCCCCAGATGTAGCTGGTTGGGCCATCTTGCTCAAAAAGTTCAAGGAGGCTGCCGTGTTTCAAAAATCCAGCCGATAAAATTGACTCTGTTCTCTGTCTGCCTCTCTCTTAGCTCGTAGCAATAATCTCCGAGGCCTCTAGCTCAGGGATTTCTCTCCAAGCGGACAGACGGGTAAAGAATCAAAAACGGCGCGTCCACATGACGCTGGAATTGCCCTGGAGTGCTGACCGAGCCATACAGCAGTTTGGTGAGATTGCCAAGTCAGCTCGTGTGTCTCCTGTATGAGTGCCCAGAAGTGGGAGGGGGTGGTGGAAGAGAAATACAGAATAAAATAGGGGGTGTCAAATTTAGCTTCTTAAAAATATATTCTGGTTCCTTTTTCATTTGGAAAATTTGGAAAAAGGATTTCCTATTTCTGTTTAATGAACAGGCAGCAATGGTAGGCAGTGCTTGGTGAAAACCAGTGTGTGTGTGCCAGAAATGGATCAACAATTGTTGCTTTTCATTTCATTCTGTTTCACTGCCCTTGAAAAAGGAATATTTTTTTCCAAAACACATTGGACCAATTAAAAACTTTTTTACTGGCCCTTGGAATTACTTCTTCCCTCTTTTGTTTATTACATTGTGCGCACACCTCATCATTCACTGCTGCTTTCTACTCCTGCCTCTGGAAAGGGCTAAAGCAATAATAAACTATGGAAATCATCCAGATGCATGTAATTTCTGCAGGGTGGCAGAGGCTTCTCTGTGCAAAACGTGGGATTTTAAGTTAGCTCTGATTAAAAACTGCAAGTTAAGCTGGCTGTGAACTCTAAAGGTTGCTGCAAATGCAGGAATATAAAGTCAACGTCACTAACTGAAAATTGGACCTGTCTGATACATGCCACCACAAGGAGGCCCATTTTTTTCAGCCTGGCCCCGTCGAGTCAATGATTTCTAGAATTTGTGGCCCATTTGGGGAAAGCTGCATTATGCTGTGGGGTAGCCCTTCACTGTGTGGGTTTTCCTTCCAGGCCGCACGCACCGTTCCAACCAGGTGTCTGCTCCAGAGTACATTTTTCTCATCTCTGAACTGGCTGGTGAGCGGCGGTTTGCTTCTATCGTGGCCAAACGCCTGGAAAGCCTTGTAAGTCACTCTCTTTCCCTGTCCAAAAGCATTTTCTGAATATCTTCCTTATCCATCTACCTTCCCACTCAAGAATGTTCCATACTAATCATAAGAATGGCGGGCATCTCTTCTACTGATTAAGTCAGTGCTTCCCAAACCTGAGTAAATTACCCAGAATTGGGTAAAAGTGGTTTTTCTTTGGGTAACGACACACGAACCCATTACCCATCACAACAGGGACATGTAAGTTGACTTAAAGATTTCCACATGTACTAAAATACATTCAAAAATCTACCAAAGTATTCCTATTAAGACAAAAATGGATGAAATTACCAATGACAATTCGTTGAAATGACTTAAAGGTCATTCAGTGATATTGTTTGTACAATACAGGTAGTCCTCGAGTTACGACCATTTTGGGGGAAATGTTTGGGAAGCATTGGAGTAAGTGAACCCTGGAGAGCTAGGGTGCAATTCAGAGTTTAATATTAACAAATTAATTTATTCAGCTTATAAGGCCACCTATTCAAAATAGGCTTAAGGCAGCCTACAATCAATTAAAAAGTATAGTAATAGAGCATTGGAGAAACCCAGTGAGAAAGGAAATACTAGCTACCATTCAAGCAGGATTACAAATCACCCTGGTGTAGGGCCTGCTTACAAAGCCAAGTTTGAATGCTTTTCTGAAGGGCAGCAAGATTGGAGCCAACCAGACTTTCAGGGGAGAATGTTATTCCAGAGGACGGGGGAGGTATCCTGGAAGGGATGGTTCTGGGGTCCCACCAGATGGCATTTTTTAGTTGATTGGACCTGGAGCATGCCCACGCCGCTAGATATTATCGGAAGAGCAGAGACAATTGGAGAGAGGTATTCAGCTCCTGAGAGACAGTTTGGTGATGTGGTTAAAGGCACTAGGCTAGAAACCAGGAGATTGTGAGTTCTAGTCCTGCCTTAGGCATGAAGCAGCTGGATGTAATGGGATGTAGGAATAACCTTGAGGAGCAGGAGGAAGAGCCGCAACCAAGGCAATGGCCAGATAAAAGAAATTTGAGTCCAAGGCAGAAATGTAACTTGAATGACATTTCGGCCTTGGACTCAATTTTTTTTTATCTGACTGTTGCCTTGGTTGCAGCTCTTCCTCCTGTTCCTCAAGGTTCTTCCTATAGTCCATTACACTGGGGGACTTTGGGCCAGTCCCTCACTCTCAGCCATAGGAAGAAGGCAAGGAGAAGCCACTTCCAAACATCTTGCCAAGAAAACTACAGGAACTTGGCCAGGCAAGTTGCTTGGAATCTAATTTGAAAGCACTTCCCCATCCCACCCCAAATTTCAGCCCTTGAGCCATGAAGGGCTTTATAGATGATGACCAGCCCTTTGAATTGCACCTGGAAACCAACTGGTAACATGGGTGTGCTAAGGTCACCTGTAACTACTTGAGGAACCATATTCTGGTCCAGCTGTAGTTTTTGAATGGTCTTTCAGGGCAGCTCCACATAGAGCCCATTACAGTAGTCCAAATGACAGCTGTGACAGTCTGTCAGTCTCATTTAGATCTCCCAGAGAGTCACCAAATTGTCTCAGCTTAAGTCGCTGTTCTCAACTTCCTGCTTTCTTCCTTATCAGTGTTACAGAGATGATAATATTGAGCCTACTTTACAGGGGGTTGTAAAAGTTACGATCTGGGAAATTAAAATGGGAGGGGGAAATGTTCCCAGACTGCTTTCCTACATCAGAACTAGGGTACTTTCTTTTCAACAGCTGCATTCCAGTCCATTCAGGTGTTTGGGCTTTGTTCCACCAACCCAGACACCACAGCAAGGGATGTGGGAGTTGTAGTTGTAGTCCAAAACATCAAAAGGATATGAGGTTACTGGCCTCCTGGTGTCTAGTTCAGAAGCAGGGTATGACCAATGCAACCCCTTTTTGGTCTGCTCCAGCTCCTAACCTTGTAAAAAATACTCTCTTCAAACATAGAGTCTATCATCTCTAGTCAATTAACAAAAATGATTAGCCCTTGAATAATTTTATTGGCCTGGTTTTTGCCAGTAGAAAACTACTCCAGGCACATTAAGGGAAAGGGAGGAAGTCAAGCTGGGCTCTTAATCGTGTTAGCAAAATGTAGAATAAGCCCCTGAAAAGCACAAGCTGTTGTGCATGTGTTACCTTCTCATTTCAATAGGGTGCCTTAACTCACGGTGACCGAAGAGCGACTGAATCCCGGGACCTCAGCAAGTACAACTTTGAGAATAAGGTGAGGATAAGTCTGCAGTTCACAGAAGCTTCTGCCTTTGAATAAGATTTGTTAGTTAGAAGAGGTGCTACGGACTCATGATTTTTTTGCCTTCATTTTTCACGGCATCCGATGCGTGTATTTTTTGTCCTCAAGATAGCTTTTCAAAGAGGTGCGAAAAGTGGAAAATGCAGCTAGCCTTCTCCAGGTTAAACGAAGAGGACAGGAGTTGTAATCCTCAAAATTCTGCAGATTGACAGCTTGGGAAAGGCTGTTCTGACCTAATATGTTTGACTCTTGTCTTTAACAGCTAGTCTAACAGACGGTTTACATCCTATCCTTCTTTTTCAACTCTTTCTCCTTTTTCTCAATGAATTCTTCCTTGTCATTTGCTTTCGCTCCCACCACCCTTCCTATTATACTTTCTGTTGCCAGTCACTCTTGCCTTTGTTCTTTGGTTAAATTGTGCTATCCGGCTGATCTTAGAAACCATTAGGGGTGGGAGTTTGTAGAAAGACAAGGAGTGAGAGAAACTATGAGACTGCAGTTTGTAGTCTTTTTTTGTTTTGTTTCTAAGTTTATGAATGCAAATACATGCTGGAAAATGTTCATTCAGTGTATGACAATCTCCAAATCCAAGGCAAGAAGTGAACAAGATTGATGAATGTAAGAGCCCTGTTGAGTCAGATCAGGTCACATGTAGTCCTGCATGTCAGTTCCAACATGCCTGAAGGCCACAAGCAGGCTATAAAGTCAGTAGCATCTTCCTTTGATGATAGCTTCAACCATTAGGCACTCAGAAGTAGACTTCTCTGCACACGATATTCCACAATGACTAATAGCAATCAGTGGTTGGTTGATTGACCGTCATCTTCCTCCACAAACTTCTGAAAACCCTCTTTAGGGCGGTGAATCCTAGAGACAGAAGGGACTCTAGTTATTTCCCCTGCCAGTTCAGAGCATTCAACAATATAATGTCCTTAATCAGAGGCCATCTAGTGTAATTAGTTATGGTCAGTGTTTCTTAAAGTATGGTTCAAGGGCCCTTGGGGGTCTCCCAAGACTCTCTTCAAGGGTCCGCAAAATGAAAATTATTTGCCAGATGTTGAATACATTTGGAAACACTTAAAACAATGTCACTCTTCTCATTGTTATTTTTTATTTGTTAAAAAATAGGGTTTTTACATTTTTGTTCATGTTAATATCTAATGGGTTTAATATTGTCATTTTTACATGATTCAATAAATAAATATTCTATGAATGCATCCAATTTAATATGGTAAATCTCACTAAGTATAACCCACACAAACAGAAGCTCTTTTGGAGTCATCCATAATTTTTAAAAGTGGGAAGGGGTCCTCAGAGCACTGCCTGTATGCATCACATTTCCCACAGCTGGGACCTTTCTCTCTTCCATGTCTTGCAAATCCAGCACAGGTGGCCCCAAAAGACCAAGATTGCAGAATAGCTTCTGCAACTCAGGACCTGTCTTCTTCTAGGCAGAGTGTGGGAGGCTGAGCAGGGGAGGTTGTTGATTTTCTTAATGTGAGCTCTATCCAGCCAGGATGCTATGCCTGTGTAGGGCCTGATTTCTGATGCCTTTCTTCACCTCTCCCCAGTATGGAATCAAAGCCCTCGATAAAGTCCTGCGCACCATTTTCCAGCAGACAGAGAACAAAGTCCCCCTGCCCAAGGGTTATCGAGAAGGAGATGCTGCTTTCTTCAGTGGTAAGCAAGGATGGGTGGGAATATCATCTTATCAAGAGAAGGGCAAAGCTGATCTTCTACCGTAGGGAAGGATATGGGCTACAAACCTGGATGGTTCCCAGTTCAAAATCCAGCAGTGATAGATTCCCACCATCTGGTGATTGTTTAACCTTGGAGGGGAACTCAGAGATCATTGAGTTCAATCCCATGCCAAATTTGGGGATCTTGCAGTTGGGGGCCACCATCTGCTAAAATATATCCAGCCAAAGAAATATTTTGTTCCTGTTTGTAGAGGAAGGTGGTTCTACTGCCAAAGAGCTTCGATTGCAAAAAAGTTTATTGTAATGATTAGCAGAAAAGTGCCTCCTCCCATTTCAGCCTCTTTAGACCTTCCTTACACACAGCTACATGAAGGTTGGGGTCCAGACGCAATTTAGGGCTCCAGTGGTTAACTGATTAATCCAGTGTTTCTCAACCGTGGCAACTTTAAGATGAGTGGACTTCAACTCCCAGAGTTCCCCAGCCAGATGATTTCCAAATGATCTTCCAACTCTAAATTCTATAATTTGGCTACAAGCACTGATACATTCTGCATGTCCCAAGAGGCCCTCTTCTATAAGAAGGAATCCAACATGCTTTTGTTTCATCATAGCTTGATCCACACGCAAATGTAGTTTAGTAAGTCTTATCAATTACATTGTTTCCATCAGACAACAGCTGTAAATTAACACTGTTCTCTTCTTCTCCCCTTCTCCTTGCCTTCCTGTTAAAAAAATTCCGGGTTTTCAGAAATGAAGCAATGTCTCCTCTCCGTGGGAATCTCTTGCAAGGAGATGCGATACGGCTTCATGAGCATGGAGAAAGGTAAGCCGCACCCTTGTGCTGTGTTCCCTCCAACTATTTTCTTACGGGCAGTCCAGGATGGGGCATCTTCCTCCCCTTTTTTCTCTTTAGCTCTGTATTTCTTTTCTTCCTCACTCATTTTCTCTGCACCATCCTTTCATTGTTTTTTTTTCTTTCTCTCCTTCTGTCCTCCCAACAAGTTGGCACAGAAATAAGAAGTCCAAATGGATTATTTGCAAAATTAGTGAAATGACATTGAGTCAGGATCAGCTCCTGGTGACTGCATAGACTAAGGCTTACCATCTCAACCTGTTTCTAGGAGTAACATGTAGCTCTGCCAAGGGCAGTCCTGTAATCTCTTTGAGCCTATCTATCTGCTTTGTCCATGGTCTTCCCCTCCTCCTTTCAAAGTTGCCAATCAAAGTTGTTTTTTTCTAGTCCTACATCTGTTTGCATCACATGCTCCAAGTATTGAGTTTCTGCTTGCTGATCATTGCCCCAAGCCGTGATACTTCAGATCCATAATTTGAAGGCATTTATCTTTTTTTTTTTTTTGCTCTTTCTCAGTCTCTACCTTCCAGAGCCATACATTAATACTGGAAACACCATTGCTTTACCCTTCATTATCTTGTCTATGTTTATCATATCTTGTCTATGTTTATCTTCTGCCCTAAGATTAATTGCCTCTTCTCTGCCCATTTTATCTCTTCCTGAACCCAGGAAAAGAAAACTGTCTACCATCTTCACTTCTTTACCTCCAACTGTGAGTTCATTAAACATGCTGGTTGGCATTCTCGTTGTTTTCTTGATATTTAACATTAATCCTTTTTTTTTCATATTTAGTTTCAGTTCTTACTCTTCCTTACTTTCGGCTAACCAATAGGTCTCACCTGCATATCTCAAATTGTCAGTGGCTCACCATTCTTTGGACTCCAGCTGGTTCCACCATTATTAAAATGTATTCATGCTCACTGTAAAGATTTCTCAGAAGAATGACCGTGTTTTCTGACACACCCATTAGGCTTCATCTATTCCATATTCTGGTATGATCTACACAAGCTAAATTCTTGTAGTCAACGTTCGTAAAACACAGATAAACCTTAAATGTTCTTGCTGTCTCTATTATCCATTTTGTGTTCGCTCCCTGTGCCTTTTCTGAAACCTGCCAGCTCTTTTGGCATTTCTCTGTCTGTATATGGTTTTATCTTCTTTTTGAATTCTTAAGCCAAACTTCGCTTCCATGAGCAATGAGCACATCAGTTGAAGAATGTGCACATTCTTTTGCACCTCCCTGGGTAGGTGGATTTATTTATACAGCATAGCATTAAAGACAAAAAAACTTAAACCATCGAACCAATGATAGACTCCTATCTATTCTGGGAGTTGAAGTCCACTCGTCTTAAAGTCACCAAAGTTGAGAAACACTGCTCTGGGCTATAGCCGTCTTCCATATTACTTCCCAACCTCTTCTCTTAAACAGTTCGGTGAGTATTTTTTCTGGGCCTCATGCTTTCTACTTGATAGCTTGTCTATTTTCTGATGTACTTCCTTTATGGTGTAAATTCCTGAATGTAGTCTGTCTGTCTCTTCAGATATTTCTGTCATCCTATTATCCTGCTTGTAACAAGCCCCAGTGGAGCCTTTCCATCTTCCATTAGCCTTCTTTGCCACGGTTAGTTCTCTTCCATAATTACTCTTGGGAAGAGTCATGCAACAATCCAGATTTGAAGAGTGATTCAGAGCATGTGTGAGCATGTGTGTCATACTTGCCAGTGCTTCCTTAAATCAAATATGCCTTTTCCTGGAATCGCTGGGCAGGCCTAGGAGAAGATGTGGCTTCTTCAAGGAGTTGTGGACAAGATGGATGTCCCTGTGTGGTCTGAATCGCCTTTTTCCTTTCAGTGCAGACTGCTACGCAGCCCTACTCCTGACTTTTCCTGTCTACCGGTAAATTTTCCTGTAATTTCTCTGATCTTTTTAAAAACATCCCCCATTTTCCTTTTCTTTCTTACTTTCCTCCATTTGCTGATATTTTTGATTGAAACCTCTTTTCTGCTCCTTGCTTGCTTAATGTTTGAAGCCTGCATTCAGCTGCAGAATGTTCTTCCTGGCGTCTAAAGCTTTTACTTTCAGTCTTCCTCTGCCAGTCAGAATAGCTTATTCACAAAGCCACCTGGATCTGTCCTTCAAGTTTGGGAAGATTTTTTTCCACTTTAATTTTCAGCCTCTCTTCTTATAGTTCCTTAGGTTTCCACTGCATAAGTTAAGTGTACTGATTCTAATGACCATTTTATATTCTGATTGTATGTCCTCCAGATCAGATCTTGCTGGCACACTAACACTCTTTAGTTTTCTAAGTTTAAGCCACGTTTTTGCCTTCAAGGGCCTCTTCTACAATCTGCACAAGTGTCTTGGCTGACTGGACTGCATTTTTCTTTGTTCTGTTTCTTAGCGTATGGCCAATTTGATTCCAGTGTTGTACATCTGATGATGTCCAGGTGCACAGCTGGAATATATGTTTCTTGAAGCAGGTGTTGGCAATGAATGAAGACTTCCTTTTGCAAAACCATATCTCCTCCTCCTGCTCCTCCTGCTCCTCCTCCTCCTCTTCTTCTTCTTCTTCTTCTTCTTCTTCTTCTTCTTCTTCTTCTTCTTCTTCTTTATTATTATTATTATTATTATTATTATTATTATTATTATTA